ATCAAAACATGACCTCTCTGGACAGAAATTTAAAACATGGAGCAATCGCTCGCTTTTTTAAATGCCTAATAAGCTTGTTTAATCCCGCCCCTTTTTGCAGCGCCGTACGACAGAATTTCCCACACACAAACTCTAGTGTGACCGTAGCTTAATGCATTTCTCAAAACAATCCGTACAAACTGCTAAAACTAGTTGATAACCTGCAGAAGTGTGTCACTAGCTCAAAATAAAGAGCTCATTCCTCAAAAGCAAGTTTTGATGTCAATGAAAGTGTCAGTGTCATCAAGATGAAAAGTCCTGACACCATTGTTTATAAACGAAATAGTCAAATGCCACTGTTTAGTCAGTTGATGGAATACAGAAAGAGCCATTTCTCACATAGACTACTTAGTATTTTACACCATGTTTATCTTTGACTTTGTGTTGTTCTTAAAAATTGCTGACACCTAAAATAATCGTCACTTGTCATTTTCCCACATTTGCACTCTCCATTAATGTATTTTTAAATGCAAAAGGCACTATTTTAATTTTTTTCATACTTTTGACATTGATGAAAATTCAGATTTTGACCTTTGAATTGAGACTTTGAGAACCCCTGTAATAAGATCGACTGCAACAGTTACTATAATAGGATTGGTAATGTTTTATTAGAGTCAACTGGCAGAAGAAAGTCCCATATTTGTTTTAGAAAGTACTATCAAGTAAAATGGAGAAAAGAATCACATTGCAGATTTCTTGGCCTATGGCTTTCTCTTTCTCACTCAGGTCTTACTTTCTTCTGGAAGCTGATTTTCCAGATTATAATATACCTCCAAAACCTGTTAAAACATGGGCAGATGTATTTTATTAAACAAAACAAACATTCATCGTGTAAAAAAAAAGAACAAATCTAATAGCAAAATCATATACTTTAATTCCATCTTTTGAACACAAACCTAGATGATTCATCTTTAAAGTTTATTGTATCCAGCCTGTTCTGAGTATAGGTACATTCATTAATATGTAAACTTTCCTTGATACACCTTTATTGATACGAGATTCGACTTTTGAGCTCGGATGCCAACAATCTAATCTGTTAATAAATTTATTCGTTTCGCAATCACAGGTCAGGGTTGTAAAATTTACGTCAAAATTAGACTGTGCTTCACTTTCCCTGCTCATCAGCTCATGACGAATGTTTGGTTGTTTTTTCAACATCTAAAACAGAAACTATGCCTAAAGAGCCAAAGATAAACTAAAAAATAAGCTGAAATATGTAGAAATCCCTTCAGAGATAATTTGGGATTTATTTTTACAAGTGTGAAAATTAATAACAACAAAACATAGTTGCCTAACTTTACCTGCAGTGCTTTTGTGAGCCTCGGCTCAGTTGGTGTTTCTGTGTGGAGTTTGCATGTTCTCCCTGCGTTCGCGTGTGTTTCCTCTGGGTGCTCCGGTTTCCCCCACAGTCCAAAGACATACAGGTAAATTGGGTAGGCTAAATTGTCTAGTGTACGAGTGTGTGTTTGTGTGTGTGTGCATGTTTCCCAGAGATGGGTTGTAAGGGCATCCGCTGCGTAAAAACTTGCTGGATAAGTTGGCGGTTCATTCCGCTGTGGAGACCCTGGATTAATAAAAAGCTGACAAGAAAATGAATGAATGCTTTTGGAAGAGGAACAATAGATTAATTTACTGTATATAGCGTAAACAAAAATCAAGGACTTCCATGAATGTTTCACTTAACAAGGCTGGTAGCCCTAGTTTATCATTTTCACGATATGCTCTACAACGAACAAGATGATGGCACCAAGCCAAAGTCATGTGCATAGTTGTGATATCTAATATGCAAAATTGCTTGACTCAAGACATGGACATTCTCAAAACGTGCAGACTATGATTAGTCGTAACCCATCCCCCCCAACCCCTACCATGCCCTCTTTTAGGGTACAGGCTGTAAAAGTACAAGTTCACCTGAGTCTGTGGCAATTCCAAGTCCAATCAAAATCAACAAACCCAATTGCACTGAGGGAGAGTCAGAATTTCTGTAATGTAAGAATGACATTAGGTTTTCTTCACTGTGAGAACAGAAATGGGTTCATCCTCTGAAATACCTGCACTGCTGGAATGCCACCTATTCGAAGGGTCAAAATTCCTTACGTCACAAAGTACTTAGTGAAACATATGACGACAAAGACCTGTGATTAAGTAATAAAAGAAATCAGGCATGTTGTATTCTTTAATGTATAAAGCATGATAACTGGAGGTCTAATCAGCCACTCTGAATAGCTTTCTACACTTGATTTGTTTAATTCTGGTATTTTACTGTCAATTTTATAAAATGTTACATTTGAATTATTTTATTTCACAATTTTCATGTCATTTCTAATTGTTCATGTTTCTTTTGTGACTTTGTTCATTTGACAATGCACAATAATACGTTAAGTTGTAATCGGTTTTGTAACAAGTAAACCAGGGGTCACCAGGGGTCACCAACCTTTCTGAAACTGAGGCCGTACTCACACTAGGTGCAGTTGCCTCGAACCGGGCCAAAGCACGCTTGTCCCCCCTCCCATCTCCCCCGACGGCCTGCGCTCACACCACAAACGGGCCTCGGCACGCTTACGTCATCGCTGCTGCGCTGTTCAGTGAGAAGCGCTATCTCACTCAGCAGCACAGTGGAGATTTCTCAAGTTATATCGTTTCAGTCGGTTTGATATGAAGTGACATGCAGTCGAATATTTCTCCAAACAGTCCTTAGGGATGCGGGGACACGCAGTCAGATATTTCGCCGAACAGATCCGCCACTTTTGGCGCTCATAAACAATCATAAAGCCCTCGTGCTGCAGAAATGAGAAGGTCTGCTGAAGGCGTGCAGCTGGCTCGCTGTGAGGAGTTCTCGTCTTTAATAAACTACGGCAGTTTGCGTTCACTGAACAGTAAGAATGATTAATAAATGCATATGAAACAGACCCTTAAAGTCACGTCTCGCTTTCAGTTTCGGGCTTTGGAGCGTTTTGCACTCACACACAAGCACTGAAAAAAATAATGCAGAGATGATTCCTTGGATTTACTCAATTGTTTTATGTTAAGAGGTTGTAAACAAGTTATTTGTGTTGAATTTAAACAAACAAATTAAGTTAAACATTATTAAACTTAATTTGTTTGTTTAAATTCAACACAAATAATTTGTTTGCAACAGTTCTGCATGCAACACTTTTTTCAGTGAGCGTACCGCGCCAAAGCCCAAGTGAACTGCGCTCAGGCCCACCTCTTTCAACCGTGCCAGGGCCGGCCAAGTGAACCATGCTTAAGCCCGATTCAGCGCACTCACACTTCTCAAACGATCCGGGAAACGGGCCTGGGCACGGTACGGATGGCATAGTGTGAGTAGGCCCTCAGAGCTACTTCTTGGGTACCAATTATTGTGAAGGGCTACCAGTTTCATACACACTTCTTAAACAACAATTTTTCTCAATTTACTTTTAATTATATGTTGTTATTATTAATGATTAATGATATTCATCTATGTGAAGACACTGATCATGTTAATGATTTCTCACAACAGTTCTCTCAACACTGGTTTAACAAGGTAAGAAACAGAAACATCAATATGCAACACTTTATTTGTCTGAAATAGTTTTAGTTTTTTATATATATATATCTTAATGTCATTAACAAGTTTTACACCAATGCAGGTGTGATTTTAAAAAGAATAGCTTAAAAAAAAAGACAAGATTCAGCTTACTGGTATGTGGTGCAATGGTGAGCAATTTTTAGAACAGGCCTGTGGGCAACTCATGTAATCCTCGTGGGCTACCTGATACCCGTGGGCACCATGTTGGTGACCCCTGAAGTAAACAGTAATAGGTAAACACAAAACTGACTTTCTAGAACATGATATTAATTAAAAATTCCAAAACCATATAAACACAATGATTGCTAAAAGGGCTAAATTTATGTAACATCCATTGGGACAAAATTTTAGAAAAATGTTCTGGTTATACTGCAGCTGCCATATTTAAAGATATTGTTCATATGTTTTATTTCAAGACATTTGTGTGTGTTTGTGTGTTTGTGTTTAACATTGCTAATGTATTAACAGGCCCGGATTGGCTAATCGGGAGGACCGATTTTCTAATCGGGAGTCCGTTTTTTGGCCGCGAGGGCCGGTGTCCCTAGCTCCAGAATCTGTTGCTCTCAGCAGTCACACTTTTTAAATTCATTTATTTATTTGACCACAGTCTTGTGGTTAGCACGTTAGATTACAACGCCGCTGACCGGGGTTTGATCCTCGTCTGAGTATTTTATTTTATTTCTTTTTCATTTTTATTGTTAAGACATATAATACTGTTAGGGTTGTTGAACATTTAAAGTTCTAAAGCAGCTGTTTTCTTGAAAAAGACGTGATATTGTAATTAGAAACTGAATTGGAAATGACCTTATTTTAATATAGTCAGTCGTGAGCTGAGGTGGGCCGCTCTGAGGCTTGAAACTCCAGGGCTGAAAAGGAGTCCCACTCCGGCCCTGTGTATTAAACTGTTTTTGATTGTAGGGTAATTTATCGTTCACATGAGTAAGCAAGGGTCTCACAGTGGGTAGCAGGATCACCTCACAGCAAGAAGATAGCTGGTTCGAGTCTCGGCTGGGTCAGTTGGCGTTTCTGTGTGGTTTGCATGTTCTCCCATGTGTTTGCTTGGGTTTCCTCCAGATGCTCCGGTTTCCCCCACAGTCCAAAGACATGCGGTAAAGCATTCCGCTGTGGTGACCCCAACTGTACCAATGTGTTTGGACTGTGGGGTAAACCGAAGCACCCAGAGGAAACCCACGCGAACACTGGGAGAACATGCAAACTATAATTTAATTAAAGCCCAGCCAAAACCAGCTATGTCCAGCTTAAACCAGGCTGGTCAAGTTGGTTTTAGCTGGTCATTTGGACTAGCTAAAATCAGGCTGGAAATGGCTGGAAACCAGCCTGGAAGTGGCCAAAACCCTTCTAAAACCAGGCTGGTCGACCAGCTAAAACCAGCCAACCATCCTAGGCTGCTTTAAGCTGGATTTTTCAGCAGGGTTGGAAGAAGCACTGCCCTCTATCGTCCACAAACCTGGAAATGACAATATTGACATTCGTCTAATGTTATCTGTTATCTGCACCCTTGCACTTGTTGGCCGAGACTACATATCTCAAACTTGGAAAGTCATTCACAATGCACTCAATGGACCTAGTGACTTCACTGTGAGAGATTAGAGTTAGGGGTGGGGTTAGGTTTAGGCAATAAAAGCATAGCATGCAGCTCAGCCATCAACTGCACTCACATTCGTTCAACGTTTGATAGCAGTTAGTCGGTAGTGTGCAGACGTTTACTGAGCTACAGTACAAAGCCATCATGATCTTCGAATGGGTCTTATATATCGTTTTTTCCCTGCTCGCTGCTGTTTTTACTGCATTTCTTGGGTATTGTCTGTACATTCATCATCTTCATCAGAAATATGATCATATACCCGGACCTCCAAGAGACAGGTAAGAAACTTGAAGAATTGTTATTTATGAATGTATTTGATACAAATCTATTGCAATAAGATTTGTAAACAAGGCTCAAATGAATTAAGCTTGTAAATGTATATTCTTACAGTTTTCTGCTTGGACATTCGTCATCTCTTACTAAAGCAGTTTATTCCGACAACAACCTTATACATGACTTATTTCTTTACTGGTAGGACGCTTTTGTATGAACCCATATTTTGTATATTGTATATATATATTTGTTGCCTTGTTGATTGGAACTTGCACTTGTATACTTTATATATTGTTTAATAATTCTGTTGTATAATTCTTTTTAAGGGCAGAAAAATATGGCCCTGTTTACAGGATTAACACTTTGCATTATGTCACAATAGTGGTTTACTGCCCTGAGGCTACGAAGGTAAAAATTTAATCTTTTATGTGTGTTTTTTATACCTAGTCAGAATCTATATAAAAATATACTATTGTAAATTACTTAAATTAATCTGTTGTGGTGATTCTGTAGATGCTATGGTAATATAACTGCTGTAGTAATACAAAATAAATTCCCCTATGCACAGGTTTTCTACAACAATAGGCTGCACTGCTCAACAAAACACCACATTTTACAGTACAAACTGAAGTAGACTATAGTGTGTATTACAGTTTACCAAATCACTATAGTTAATACTACAGTATGTTGGTGCACTCAAGTGTTATAAATATTATAATATGTATATAATACACTTTACTATGGTTCAAAAACATTTTTCAAAAGTATTTTTCATGTGGGGATGCTGTAAAATAATAATACATTTTTTGTTTTTATAGACGATCATGATGTCACCTAAGTATATCAAGGATCCATTTGTCTACAAACAACTATTTAACTTGTTTGGGAAAAGGTAAACTTTAATTTGTTTAGAAATTGTCACACTTCTACATTAATTGCTGGTTAATTACAATTCAATTCAATTCATCGTCATTTCTATAGCGCTTTTACAGTGTAGATTGTGTCAAAGCAGCTTAACATAGAAGTTCTAGTATATTGAACCTGTGTCATTCCAGTTTTCAGAGTTAAAGTACAGTTTAGTTCAGTTTGGTTTAATTGTCATTGTTAAAAGTGCAAACATTGAAATGCAAATCCATCAATGCACAGCTCCACAAGTCCTAAACCAAGCAAGCCAGTGGCAAAGAACAAGCTTCACCACTTGACAAAAGTGAAGGAAAAAACCTTAAGAGAAACCAGGCTCAGTTGGGCATGACCATTTCGTCTTTGGACAAACTTCTTGTGCAGAGCTGCAGTCTATGCGCCGGCTATGTGGCATTTAGTTTATGTCTGACTGCTTTAAAACCTTATACATGCCTTTAAATTGATAAAATCAACAATGAAGATGGATCTTCATGAAGCAAGTCACCTAGCTAATGCCTTTAGTTCAGTTCTATTATACCATCAGGGTTCTTCTACATTCCAGACCCATCACAAGCCTGGTAAATGTGTATTTTCAGTCTGTAAAACTTTTGTTTTACCACTAAAAAGCTTTACTATCACTTGACACTTGACTTAAACACTTTGCATTCACCATGCAATCCAATACTTGAAATAAGCTGTCGGTGTCCAATAGAGCTGTGGGAAAAATATTGTTTAAAAAGTCGATTCTGTGTCAGTATTGAGACTTTTACAAATTATTTTGCTATTCTCTCTTTTGAGTCAATTCTTAGTTTTTACTCTTCCTATTCCTTACAAATACCACTTGAACCTAAAATAATCAGTAATAAAGGAAAATTTAAGGTACTTACAAGAGTGTTCATAGTGAGCTGAATTTAGATTAATCTTGAGAAATAAAAACCAACTTGCATGACTCAGCTGAATGCACAAGTGATCTTCCTTGCTGTCCGCTGTTAAAAAATAGCATAGAGCTCCATCTGTGGTTAAAAACTAGCCTAGAGCACCACATGTTGTTAAAAACTAGGCTAGAGCTTCATCTGTTGTTAAAAACTACCCCAGAGCTCCATCTGTTGTTAAAAACTGGCCTAAAGCTCTATCTGTTGTTAAAAACTAGCCCAGAGCTCCATCTGTTGTTAAAAACTAGCCTAAAGCACCATCTGTTGTTAAAAACTAGCCTAGCACCATCTGTTGTATAGAGCTCCATCTACTGTTAAAAACTAGCTTAGAGCTCCATCTGTTGTTAAAAACTAGCCTAGAACTCCAACTGTTGTTGAAAGCTAGCCTAGAGCTTCATCTGTTGTGAAAAACTAGCCTAAAACTCCAACTGTTGTTAAAAACTAGCCTAGAGCACCATCTCTTGTTAAAAACTAGCCTAGAGCTCCATCTGTTGTTAAAAACTAGCCTAGAGCACCATCTGTTGTTAAAAACTAGAGCATCATCTGTTGTTAAAAACTAGCCTAGAGCACCATCTGTTGTTAAAAATTAGCCTAGCGCACCATCTCTTGTTGTTAAAAACTAGCCTAGAGCACTATCTTTTGAAAAAAACTAGCCTAGACCTCCATCTGTTGTTAAAAACTAGCCTAGAGCACCATCTGTTGTTAAAACCTAGATTACCATCTGTTGTTAAAAACTAGCCTAGAGCACCATCAGTTGTTAAAAACTAGCCTAGAGCACCATCTGTTGTTAAAAACCAGAGCACCATCTGTTGTTAAAAACTAGCCTAGAGCTCCATCTGTTGTTAAAAGCTAACCTAGAGCACCATCTGTTGTTAAAAACTAGAGCACCATCTGTTGTTAAAAACTAGCCTAGAGCTCCATCTGTTGTTAAAAAATAGCCTAGAGCACCACCTGTTGTTAAAAATTAGCCTAGAGCTCCATCTGTTGTTAAACATTAGCCTAGAGCACCATCTGTTGTTGTTAAACTAGCCTAGAGCACTATCTTTTGTAAAAACTAGCCTAGAGCTCCATCTGTTGTTAAAAACTGGCCTAGAGCACCATCTGTTGTTAAAAACTAGAGCACCATCTGTTGTTAAAAACTAGCCTAGAGCTCCATCTGTTGTTAAAAACTAGCCTAGAGCACCATCTGTTGTTAAAAACTAGAGCACCATCTGTTGTTAAAAATTAGCCTAGAGCAGCATCTGTTGTTGTTGTTAAAAACTAGCCTAGAGCACTATCTTTTGTAAAAACTAGCCTAGAGCACCACCTGTTGTTAAAAAATTAGCCTAGAGCTCCATCTGTTATTAAAAATGAGCCTAGAGCACCATCTGTTGTTGTTAAAACTAGCCTAGAGCACTATCTTTTGTAAAAACTAGCCTAGAGCTCCATCTGTTGTTAAAAACTAGCCTAGAGCACCATCTGTTGTTAAAAACTAGCCTAGAGCTCCATCTGATGTTAAAAACTAGCCTAGAGCACCATCTGTTGTTAAAAACTAGAGCACCATCTGTTGTTAAAAACTAGCCTAGAGCACCATCTGTTGTTAAAAATTAGCCTAAAGCACCATCTGTTGTTGTTGTTAAAAACTAGCCTAGAGCACTATCTTTTGTAAAAACTAGCCTAGAGCACCACCTGTTGTTAAAAATGAGCCTAGAGCACCATCTGTTGTTGTTAAAAACTAGCCTAGAGCACTATCTTTTGTAAAAACTAGCCTAGAGCTCCATCTGTTGTTAAAAACTAGCCTAGAGCACCATCTGTTGTTAAAAATTACCATAGAGCACCATCTGTTGTTACAAACTAGCTTAGAGCTCCACAGCTGTTATTAAAAACTAGCCCAGAGCTCTATGAGTTGTTAAAAACTAGCAGAGCCTAGCCTTTGAGATAAATTCCATATCCTCTATTGTCATCTTGATGTAGATATTTTTCACAGGTTCTGCATTTTTCACTTGTATAAGTCATATAAATCCTTCTTTTCAGGTTTTTGGGAAATGGGCTCATTACAGCTGTGGACCATGACATGTGGTACAGGCAGCGTCGCATCATGGATCCAGCCTTCAGCAGCACGTGAGTCAAATACAGGAAAAAATGCTGAAATGTGATTATGGCATGCAGGATGAGGCTGAGATACATGGTGGCAAGAATATTAATAGGAGACACCTACATGACACACTAGTCTTACATTTCATGAATGAGCTTCATTTTCCAGATCCTCAGATTTAAAGATCTGTGAAGTGCTTTGGAATGTGCATTGTTTATTTGTTGTTTAACATAATCTCAACTGAAAAAGGAAGACAGGGCGAGACATGAAGTAACCTCCCTGCTGAAAAATCCAGCTTAAACCAGCCTAGGCTGGTTGGCTGGTTTTAGCTGGTTAACCAGCCTGGTTTTAGAGGGGTTTGGGCCATTTCCAGGCTGGTTTCCAGCCATTTCCAGCCTGGTCTTAGCTGGTCAGGCTGGAAAATGACCAGCTGAATCCAGCTAAAACCAGCTTGACCAGCCTGGTTTAAGCTGGACATAGCTGGTTTTGGCTGAACTCCCAGCCTGGCTAGTCTGGTCAAGCTGGTTTTAGCTGGTCATCTCCCAGCTAAGACCTGGCTGGAAATGGCTGAGAACCAGCCTGGAAATGGCCAAAACCCCTCTATAACCAGGCTGGTCGACCAGCTAAAACCAGCCAACCAGCCTAGGCTGGTTTAAGCTGGATTTTTCTGTAGGGCTCTGTAAATAATAAATTTTAAGATCCATTGGGCTCATGCCGGTCCCAAGAGTTTTGGCCGGATTCTGCTTGCCACAGTGATATGACTGATAATATATCTGTTTCTGGCTTATTTATCAGATACTTACGAAGCTTGATAAGCACTTTTGACGAGATGTCAGAACGCCTGATGGACAAGCTGGAGGAAATTGCCAACAACAAAACCCCTGCCGTCATGCACGACCTGGTCAACTGTGTTACACTTGATGTCATTTGCAAGGTTTCTCCATCCTTCTTATTGATCCAAGGGGAAGTCTAATGTGTCAAATCAGCTGTTTATCAGTACTCATAATACTTCCATTCGCAGGTGGCTTTTGGTGTTGATTTAAATTTATTAAATCAAAAGGATAGTCCCTTCCAGAATGCAGTAGAGCTGTGTTTAAAGGGCATGATCTTGGATGTCAGGGACCCATTTTTTAGGGTAAGAAAATGTATCCAAAACAGGTCACTATAATGTAATAGGGTTAACGCCATATGAGTTGTTTTTTATTTACTTGTGTTGTTTGGGTTCTCAGCTTTTTCCCAAAAATTGGAAGCTTATACAGCAAGTTAGAGAAGCAACTGAACTCTTGCGTAAAACGGGAGAGAAATGGATACAAAACAGGAAGACAGCAGTGAAAAATGGAGAGGACGTCCCCAAAGACATTCTCACACAAATCCTCAAATCAGCAGGTATGTTGATCTCAAGTGAAGGAGAAATTCAGTGGTTTAAGGAAGAGTTTTCTGTTTTAAAACGAATCATTTTGTCATTATTTACTCAGCCTCCACTTCACTCCAAACCTGTTTGACTTTCTTTGATCTGTTGAAAAAAAAAGACATTTTGGAAAATGTTATTTTATTTTCTAAACTGACTTCCCTAATATTTGTTTTTCCTACAATGGATGTCAGCGGTTACCCGTTTCTAACAGTCTTCAAAATATCTTTAGTATTCAACAGAATGAACTCATCAAGGTTTGGAATCAAGTGTGAGTAAATAGTGAGGTCAGTTTTTGGTGAACGATCTCTTTAAATGTCTTTTTCTTCTTCCCTTTTGTTGCACAGGTAACCTGATTATGACAAATTAAAAAATACAGCTTGTGCAGGCAGCATGTTCATGGCTAAAGTCCATGTATACAAATACAAAGTCAACAATAAAACACTATAAACTGGAGAACAGGGCTTATTATCCTGCTGTCTAGATAACAAATATGATTGATCAATCAACCATCTGCTGGTTTGATATTATTGAATAACTACGAGTGTATCACAGGCTCATTTATGTAACAGCTATTATATATATATATATATATATATATATATATATATATATATATATATATATATATATATATATATACATATATATATATAGGGAAACATAGAGTCTATTTATCACTATAGAGCGCGTTAGCTGACAGTCATGCACCATTATATGACTGTTCTGAGGATTGCATAGGAGGGGCGACGGCACCTCTAATAAAAAAGGAAGGGGAATCTTGCCGTTTTTATATTTATTTCAAAGTGTTTTCATGCCTAAACAAAGCAAAAGCACAGAACACACTCACATTTAAGAGCAAGGGGCGACCCCTGGTGGTTCGGTCGGTATTGGTTGCGTATAGGGAGGCTCGGCTCTTTAGGGCTCTATTTTGACGGTCCATGCGCAGAGCGCAAAACGCAGGGCGCAAACGCTTTCAGGGCGTGTCAGGACGCGTTTTTGCTAATTTAAGGACGGGAAAACTGCCTTGCGCCGCGGCACATGTTCTAAAAGGGTTGAGCTTATTTTCTTAATGAGTTATAGGTGTGTTTTGAGAATAAACCAATTATAATCTCATCTCCCATTCCCTTTAAGAGCCAGCTGCGTCGCGCCATAAGCGCATTCGCTATTTACAGGACGCAAAGTAAGTCTAAGTGGAAAAACTGAGCATTTCACAAGCAAACAGTTAAGAGTTTTTTAACAGAAAACTGTTAAACAGAGCATCTACTGCGTGAGAATGAAAGAAAATGGATCACTTTCACATTCACTCTTGCATAGGGAAACCTTTACGCAAAGACATCAATTAGTCTATAAATAAATACTTTTGTTTGTTAAGCGCAAATATTCGCTTCAAAACTATTTCTAAATTCAGTTCTAATTTCCAGCAAACGAATAAATGAACAATAATAACAAAGTGTGCTCAAAAACCTGAGTTATATCCTAAAACACAAGCTGTGCCCCATATGGTCTAAAACCTGACAGGTGGGCAAATCTAAGCTTGTTTTTAATAAAACAAATATAAATATGGATATAATAAATAATACTGCTAATAATAATAACATTATACAAAAGCAAATTGTTATGAATGAACTGAAAAAGCCTCCCGAGATGAAGAAGACATAAAAGCAGATTTTTCATATTTATGTAGGCTAGAAAATAATATGTTTTGTAATATTTTAATCCTTTATATTTATATCCTATATCTATTCTTATTATATCCTATATATATCCTTAATATTTAAATGTTTTCATATGTAAAGATATTTGCCTTTTGCTCTCTTGTGTGTATTAAGCAGTGTGTAAGCGAGGCGCAACTCTGCGCCGGAGTTTATACCAGGTTAGTTTTGGTCTAATGAAAAATCTATTATAGTTTCTCAAAATAGCAACGCGCCAGCGGTCCGCCTCAGAACGCCTTCCTTTTTAGACCAGAACGTCTATGGGCGCACAAATGAGCACTAATGCATTTGCTATTTAAACAGCGTAGCGCAACGCCTCAAAACGACTCTTGCGCCAAGCTGAAACTACCAAAAGACTACTGCGCCACGCCTCGCGCCACACTGCGCCGGGTGTATGATAGGGCCCCAAATGTTTCTTGCCACCCTTCAGAGAAAGACTGAAAATACGGGAGAAATACGGGAAATTCCTTTACGGGATGATAGCGGGATAGAACTTTAAAATAGGGAAGAATCCCGGGAAAAATGGGAGGGTTGACAGGGATGAATATCGTGGCTTTTGCTGTCAAAAGCAAGTTGCATTTAGCCCTTTTACCAACAAACTGTTATTTCTGAATGGGCGTACGCTGCGATTTAGATGATTTGCAAATCTATTTGTTTATGGTGTACTACGTGTCTAAAGCATTCACTTGTCATTATCTCATTGTTGGCAGAAGTGCTGTTTTGCATCTGAACTCTTCATATATATATTTATATATTGCTTTGTCAAAGGGCCTTGATTCTTGATCTCCCTTCTTGATTTTATTCTGTTAACAATAGACTAGATTGAAATGATACCACACTTACAGGCCAAAAATATGCAAATAAAATGACTTCTGAAGTCACTTTTTAAAATGTCTCTCATTATTTATTCTTTCTTCACTGTAGACAGTATTATTTAACAGGTAGCCTAAGACTCTTGTGTTTTGTTTTCTTGCAGAGGAGGAAAATGTTAATAACACACAAGATCTTGAGCAGATGTTGGACAATTTTGTGACTTTCTTCATTGCTGGTGAGTTAGTGCTCATGTCGATGAACTTGAAGTGCTTTTGTTGCATACACACAACCCCGCCCATAACCCCACCCCTCACAGTGATGTCAGTAGCTCTGTTGATTGCATGTGTCTGAGACGGCTTGTCTCAGCTTGCATGTCTTGCAGCCAGATACTATTGCTTTATTCTTCTGCAGGCCAAGAGACAACAGCCAATCAGCTCTCATTTGCAATCATGGCATTAGGGAGAAATCCAGAGATCTATAAACGGTAAAACACTTGTTAGAAATGTGTCCCTGTTCTGTCAGACTTTTATTATAATACTATAGTTCAATATTCCTTTCATTTCCAGAGCTAAAGCAGAGGTGGATGAAGTCCTCGGAACCAAAAGAGAAATTTCAAATGAAGACCTTGGAAAATTGACTTACTTGTCTCAGGTTGGTTCATAGAGACTTTTACATGCTACAAACACAAATGCTTTTAAATCCATTTCTTTTAATGGTCTTTTGTGTTATTCAGGTGTTGAAGGAAACCCTCCGTCTGTACTCCACTGCGCCAGGAACCAATCGCTGGCTTCATGAGGACATTGTCATAAATGGCATTAAAGTCCCTAGAGGCTGTTCTGTTATGGTGAGCATCACCAACATGACAAACAAAATCAGCTCCTGTCTACTTAAATATAGAGGGATTTTTTTGTTAAACATTTTTAGTTGAATTAAAACAGTTTTATATGTAAAGAAAGGAAAAATAAAAGCATTTGAGCCACATTTCTCTTTTTCCATACAGTTCAGCTCGTATGTCTCCCAAAGACTGGAAAAGTTTTTCAAAGATCCGTTGAAGTTTGATCCAGAGAGGTTTGATGTGAATGCCCCAAAGTAAGTCATTATCACCTACGGTAGCTTAAGTTTTATTTAATTTTATTCTAAATTATTAATGAAGTTAAATTTAAACATTATTAATGAGATGGCTCACCCAAAGACTTATACTGACCATAACAATAACTCTAATCCTTTAGGTTGCTTTCTTCTGTAAAACACAAACAAATATTTATTTGAAGAAGGTTCAATTGGTAACCATTTACATCCGTTGTAGAAAAGAAAATATCACGGAAATCAGTGGATAGCAGTTAACAGCATCCTTTAAATGAAATTCCTTAGTGTATATAGACCTTTTTCTTGGCTGCTGCATGGAGGGCGCCATTGCGACCAGCGTCTTCCGGTAGAATGCTAAAAACTTCCGTTCACAGCGTGTACAACTGGTAATCTGCGCTCCGAAAATGGGTTTCAATAACGTTTTTAATGGATAACAGAGTGTTTTTGTGACACACAACTTAGAAATGTGTCTGTTTTAGCCGTTATAATCTGTCACATGTGGTTCAAGCGCGTCAGAAATATGAGAAAAACGCTCTCCTAGTTCTAGCTCAGCGGCTCTTTAACACACGCACACACACAGAGAGAGAGACCAAACCAGAGTACTGGCATGAAACTTAACAGGTATGAAAGTCGTGCAATTTACTAAAATGACCAATAAAAGTCTGTTATTGATACTTTGCTGGCTGATTTGCTGTTCATTCTAATCGCGAGCCGTTTGTGTTTTATTTCGTGTGTTGTTTTTACCACGGTTTGTGTTTTTCTGTCATTTCGAAATGACTTTGTCACAGTTATTAAATCAGTGTGTCAGTGGCACAGTACAGGCTACGTGTGTGTGTCAAACATTTTGGTGAACTACATTTGTTTGGGCTGGTTATATACTTGAAATAAAGAGAAAATGTTGACTTTAGCGATGACAAGGCTTCATTTAAACTGCAGAAGATGCCGTCTGACAACGAGGGGAAAACGCCTCACAGCAGCTGTTTTCCATCCTATTAGATTGCATTTCTTTAAATGATCAGTCCAGGAGATGGTGCTGATGGACAACAGTATTAGTTCAAAGAGGATAAAAGCAGGTAAAATAGATTAAAACTATCGTTTCAAAGCTGTCCAAATGTGACGGTTTACACGCATCAGCTGCCGACCGGAAGTTCTTCGCATTCTCCTTGCGCATACACGCAAAGCATAATGGGTAATTTTGCGTTCCAAGAAAAAGGTCTATAGCTTAACATAGAATATAGAATAATGATGGTACCTAATTGTCCGAATATTTCACTGTAAGAGAAGAAGAGCTTGCCTTTTTTGTTGCACAGCTGCACTGTTAAAAAAAAATGCTGTCCCAACATAAATCGATTAATTTTACTTAATTCCTTTACAAATTTAAGTAGACTGAACATAAACAATTTAAGTTGTCCCCAAAAAACCCTTAATAAGTGTGTTGATTCAGCTCAATTTAAATAAATAGTTGCAACAAGCAACAAGAATGTTTTTTTGAGGATGTGTTTGTTTGAACTGGAGTATGTTATCATCCCTGTCATACGTCAAGTCAGAGGTTGGCCAAGAAGGTGTCAAAAACATGGATTTGACATCCACCAGAAGTCATTGATTTTAGCAATTTTCTGTTTTCAAAACATACCAATCTGCTCCAAAAGACAGATTCAACACCCTGCCGACTTATTAGTGAAAAAAGGTCCCTACCCAACATCAAAATACAGCATTAAAGAGCTAGAATAAAAGTTAAACCTACACTGACTGTGCTCATCTGTCAGAAGAAAGTCAGATACACTGAGGATGACTTTGTTTTGTTTTTTTTTAACCCCGCCCACTGCCATTTTAGCCAGTAATATTTCGACACCCCGGGTTGCCTTGCTTAAAAAACTATGCATTTCATTCATTAATTTAGAAAGGCTTTCAAAGTATACGCATACTTTGGGAACCTTTCTGAATAAATGAATAAAATCTCTTGAAAAACTGTGTTTTTGGTGTAAGGGTTTTAATTTCCTTTAAATGTTTTGTTGTTTTTGTGGAAAGATATTTTGGTGATAAATAATTTCCTATGTGTTTGTTTGAACTGGAATATTTTATTATCCCTGTCATACGTCAAGTCAGAGGCTGGCCAAGAAGGTGTCAAAAACATGGATTTGACATCCACCAGAAGTCATTGATTTGAGCTTATATTGAATAATTAGCAATTTTTGGTTTTCAAAACACGCCAATCTGCTCCAAAAGACAGATTCAACACCCTGCCGACTTATGAGTGAAAAAGGGTCCCTACCCAACATGATAATACAGCATTAAAGAGCTAGAATAAAAGTTAAACCTACACTGACTGTGCTCATCTGTCAGAAGAAAGTCAGATACACTGAGGATGACTTTGTTTTGGTTCTTTTAACCCCGCCCACTGCCATTTTAGCCAGTAATATTTTGTAATATTTGAGTATTTCTGAATATTTCAGTAATATTCGATTCTGTATGAAAATACCACATGTTTGCAGATATTTCAGAAACATGCTAAGTGAATATTCTATATAATATGCTGAAGTCAGATATTAATTCTGATTTAAAAATGACTGTTACCTGCTGGAACTCTGACTTTGTTTTGGTTCTTTTAACCCCGCCCACTGCCACTTTAGCCAGTAATATTTCGGCACCCCGGGTTGCCTTGCTTAAAAAACTACGCATTCATTCATTTAGAAAGGCTCTCAAAGTATACGTATCTAACGTTGTTTTCCAACAAGACAACCCGGGCTGCCAAAATATTCAAGAGTAATATTGGAACAAAAAACTAGAACACAAACTCCTTTTAATATGTAAAATATTCCTTCTATTGTGTGCTGTTGCATTTATATAGAACATGATTTAAATCAGCCTTTAGGCTTGATAGGCTTGCTCATGTTGCTCCTCAATCTGGCAACCTGCCTGAATACCTATATAGGTAGTTCAACCACTAGGTGTCAAACTTACATACTGCACCTTTAAATTAGCGAATTAAGTGGAAATTTCAATTTTTAGGTGAACTTTTCCCTCAGTTTTTTGGGTGACCTATCCTTTTATGACATTAACAATAGTCCCATGTAGGATTTACTAAACAGAAATATAACAAGAGACCTGCTTAATTGAACAAGTGCAGTTTTTCTACTTAATGTTACAGCGGCAGGTTGATAGCAGCTCTTTAAAATTCAGATTTTACAATGTTTGAGTTGAAAATAACTAATCGTGAGTTTAAGAAGTGTGTCAGAATTGTATCACTTAAACACTACTTTATTTAATTACATTATAGCATGACAACGCTGATTTCAAATTGTTTTCTTATCTAAAGGCCTTATTACTGCTACTACCCATTTTCACTTGGTCCACGAACCTGTCTTGGCCAGGTCTTCGCACAGGTGATGAAACACACACATGCATACATCCACATATTGGTTTTGGTGGATTATGAGGAATCTCCATTGGCATAATGTATTTTGAACATGCTTTTTTTATTGCCTTACCCTAACACTAAACCCGTCCCTCATAGGAATCCTGTTGCAAAAAAAAATAAATTTTATTTATTTTTTTTTACAATTTTGAATGTTGAGGACTCAAGGCATGTCCCCATAAACTACTTTAACATCGTAAGAGCAACATTGGCCCCTTTCACACATACAGACCTTTCCGGAAAATTACCAGCAATTTTCCGGAAAGGTCTGTATGTGTGAACAGGTCCTTTTTGAAAATACCGGTAAATTCGTTCTGGCTATTTTCCGGAAAGAGAAGTTGTAACATTACCGGCAATTTGCCGGAATGCTGCGCTGTGTGAACGCAGAAGGAAGATTGACGGAATAAGCGCGTGCACGTCTAGAACGTGCTGACGTGAGACGTCTGCTTTAGCCAATCACAACAGTCAGACGCATTTACGTCCGCGCGGTTTATGAGAATAAAAACCTTTGAATATTTTTCCAGACACATTTAGCTGCTAGAAGTTAGTCAGATCACGTTTATATGTTCTTCTTAATGCCAACTGTGTAAATAATCATCGATGAGATGCTTAAGATAAGCCGTTGTTTGTTTACCTTCAAGCTTTGCGTGTGCCTGTGAAACAGCCTGTGAGCGCCTGCACACGCACATATTATGAACATCTCGATATGCGAAAGTGATCCTGCGAAAGTTGTTCACAATATTGATCATCCACAGAGTTTGTAATTTAGTCAAATGTTTACAAATACAAGCGCAGCCGTTTAAAGCTCATTTGTGGTGAATGATGTCAGAATTTACCGGTATTTTGGAATGGATGTGTGAATGCTCTTTTCCGGAAAATTTCCGTAACGTCCTCGCCTGTGTGAACAGCGCTTTTTTCAATATACCGGTAAAGTCGTTCCGGAAATTTTCTAGATATTTACCGGTATCACTGTGTGAAAGGGGCTATTGTTAGCTCATGTCATTATTTAAATTTGTGAAACCACCAAAACCAGTACACACACAGAGACATCTGTACCTTTTTTGGATTTCTTTTCACTGTTTTATGGATATTTGCAGTGATCATGATCATCTCTGTTGTTTCTACATTTAGATGGAGGCAAAACTAGTGCTTGCCAAACTGCTCCAGAGATTTGAGTTCAGTCTGGTCCCTGGACAGTCTTTCGATATTAAAGACAACGGAACTCTACGGCCCAAGAGCGGAGTGATCTGCAACATCAAGCAGTGCTCATAGGACATGTTTAAATCTCTAATGACAGCTCTTCTGAAATAAATCCTCTTACATTAGTCAAACATGTGTCAGAGAATGTAGGTTGTAACGGCGCAACCACAAATGATTTAATCATCAATTGATTTACATTAATGAAAATAAATTAACTAACAGTGCATTAATCAATATGAACAAGCAAAGTTTGTTTTTATTAGTGCTATAGTAAATGTTGAACTATGATTATTATTAATCTGCTAATAAATTACAAGTGTTATTAATTGCTGTACAAGATTGTTCATACTAGTTCATGATAGTAAATACACTAACATTAACTTCTGGACAATTATTTAAAGTGTTAACATGCAAACTTGAAAAATCTGCAGGCACAATGGGAGCCCATAAAAACTTGTGAAAATGTTTAGGTTTCCCTAATTTCATTCATTTTTTATTATAGACTATTTTAAGCATTTTCAGTGTAAAGCTCAATTGTAAAATCGTTTTAAAATGATCTCATATTTACATGTCATAATATAAACAACAGAGATTAAACATTGCATTAAAAACATTTATAAGTGTAGGTGTTGTCATTTTTCTCTTGAAAAACTGTATTTTTGTTGTAAGGATTTCAATATCCTTTAAATGTTTTGTTTTTGTGGAAAGATATTTTGGTGATAAATCATTTCCTATGTTATTAGTGTTGTTGGGAAATTGCTGTATTCGAAATTGGATAACAGTGACACCTACAGGTGATAGAGAGGTAGCTTTAGTTTACTGTCACGTGATCTTGTTAGCTGCGTGATTATCAGTAAAAACGGGAATTTAACACGAGCAATGAGATGCTTTTGTAAAGAACAACTTTGTATGATTTTATATAAAATGAGAACACACTGAAATTATCTTAATGACTCCTAGACTTTGATTAGGAGATGCACAATGTATGTTGTTTTTTGTTTGTGTTCTACCAGCTGATATGTGAAGTTAATAATAATGCTGGTTCGATAAGAAACAAAATCAGTTAAACTGCTGTACAGAAAAGCAAAACTTTGAAGATATGTATGTGATTGTTTTTATTTGTTTCAGTTTTATTTGTTAAAAACTTAATTTTTTTTTTTACTTATTTTACTTTTACCAGACTTTTATTTTGAAATGTTTGCGCGACAACCCTAGCGTTTGACATGTGAAATTTCATTTAATTATAGCAACAAATATGTCAAAGCGCAGGTACGACCCCGAATATGTAAAGTGTGGATTTACATATATTGACGACAAAAAAGACTTGCCTCAGTGTCAAATGTAGTGAGGTGCTCTCACAAGAGAGCATGAAGCCTCCTGAATTAAAACGACATTTAGAAACCAAAAAACATGTTTTATTAACAGTTCAGTTTGGTTTGTGGTAACTGAAACTTTCCTTACCCTAACCATTATTTACAGTATTTAACATTTTTACTCTGTAATATTCCTATAATTGGATCCATTTTGATAAATGAGTTTATTTGTAAGTCTTGGGTTAATGTCTTAATATTTATTTGTCACTACTTGTTTATGTTACCAAATAAATACAAATTAATTATAATTCCAAAAATTGTATTTTAGTTCCTAAAAATTTGGGTGACCATGATCTCTCTCTCCACTTGATGCCCTGCTGAAAAATCCAGCTTAAACCAGCCTAGGCTGGTTGGCTGGTTTTAGCTGGTCGACCAGGCTGGTTTTAGAGGGGTTTTGGCCATTTCCAGGCTGGTTTTCAGCCATTTACAGCCTGGTCTTAGCTGGTCAGGCTGAAAAATGACCAGCTTAATCCAGCTAAAACCAGCTTGACCAGCCTGGTTTAAGCTGGACATAGCTGGTTTTGGCTGGGCTCCCAGCCTGGCTAAGCTGGTCAAGCTGGTTTTAGCTGGTCATCTTCCAGCCTGACCAGCTAAGACCAGGCTGGAAATGGCTGGAAACCAGCCTGGAAATGGCCAAAACCCCTCTAAAACCAGCCTGGTCGACCAGCTAAAACCAGCCAACCAGCCTAGGCTGGTTTAAGCTGGATTTTTCAGCAGGTTGACCATGTAAAAATGTGGGTCTATTGGCCAAACCAGTTGACAACCCCTGGTCTAAATAACATGATGTCATGATGATGACGACTATAACAAAGGAGACATTAAAACTTTGAAAAATCAGTTGAAGCGTGATTCTTTAATCAGAAGAAAACATTCAGGATTCCTTACATTTGGTGTTAGCGAATTACAGTACTTGTGATACACAAATGGGGATGAATCATTTATGACAGAAGTTGTATTTTTAGAAGAACAAATTCTTACATTTACACATTTAATAGAATGTAATACTTAAACCATTTGTCATTTAGTCACCCTTCACTTGTTCCAAATCATTTTGAGTTTCCTATTTAAGAAATCTTTTGAAGAAGATATTGGGAGATATTGGAAAGGGCGGGACAGAGGGGAGCCAAGTCAGACCTAACAAGACAAGCAAGGGAGGGATGGGAAAGCCAGGGAGGGTAAGTAGGACCTGGGTCAGGGACCCTGGCTTACAGGAAAGACAGTAGCAGGAGCGGGAGTCCAGGCTGGGAACCAGGGAGGACCAGATGGACAGACCAGGGCAGGTTCATTGGGTCAGGGACCCTGGTGGTACACACCAGGTAAAGGCAGGAGGGACGACTGAGGTAGAATCAGTCAGGGGTGGCAAGGCAAGAAGCCGGCTTGGCTGAAGGCCTCTGAGGAGCTGACTTGGCTGTAGGACTGTGGGGAGCCGGCTGTAGGCCTATAGGGAGCCGGCTGAACAAAGAGCCAAACTTAGGCCGCAGGGCAAGAAGCCTGTGTGGCTGGTGCTCAAGGGTTGGAGCCGTTGTGGTGGAGGAGCCCCTTCTCCTCCTACCCTTCCGTGTGTTTGCTGGTGGGAAGCTGGCCACCTCTTCAGACACTGTAAGGTAGAGATCTGCGGGGGACTAAATTATGAATCCCACTCCCGCCAGGTTTTAGACTGAACCCGACCGCTCCTGCTTAAATTAAGCATTTGTTGTCACGCTGCCCACCCCGCCCCATTTTCTACCCCCTGCACCCATTCCCGCTAACGGAGGGGGCTATACACCCAGAGTCCAGACAGCCTATAACAATCGGGAAAATTGAGCTCAGGTCGATCTCAAACTTCCCCTCTGCTGAGGCCAAGGCGAACTTCCTAAGAGTAAGACATTAGAAAAAAGATTTAGCCTTATTTTATCTATAATATAGAGCACATTTGGATGGTGGGAGGAAATCGGGAATCCGGGAGAAATCCACGCCGACAAAGGAGAACATGCAAACTCTGCACAGAAATACCGGATGGCCCAGCGAGGACCCAACGCTATTGGTATGCTTGCTGCGAGGCAACAGTGCTAGTCGCTGGGCCACTGTGCCGCCCATTCTTTATAAAGGTGTAAGGGTTTCTTCCAGACGAAGATAATTGTAGAAAGGAAATGAGGATATACATAGTGACTTGGGATCCTTTGATTGGAGGATCATGATTGGCTAATGTAGGCCAGCTGGGTCAATCATAAGCACGTGCTCTTCTCAAAACTATTTTAAATTAAACTTCACGTATTTAGCGGGAGCCACAGAGGGGAATACTGCAGCCAAGGTGGATGGGATGCAGCAGGTTCAGTCACCTCTTCATGGGTAACAGGTGAGGCAGGCCCGTGCTTTCTCCTCCATCTTGGCTGGCAGGTCATTGGAAGACTGGGGATTTGGCAGTCAGTGAGTGAAAGGGAGGGTGATCCAAGGGGAGGCAGGCCACCGTTCCCCTGGCTGTGGTAGATGTGGTAGATTGGTTCCAAATAAAAACGCTTGCACAAAAGAGGCAGCACATGCCAAAAAACAGTCTTGGCTTTGTAGTCTAACCATTTCTCAAGAGAGAGGGCACTTTTTATTCTGTATAGGATCTGTTTCCAACTCTTTTCATTAATAACAGTAGCAACGTATTATAAGTGAGACATCAAACCGACTTTAACTTTTTATAGGAACTAATTGGACTTTCGACTCATTGTAAAAATCCCTGAACAGTTATTGGAGGTTAACGTTTATAACTTAAATTAAAAATTATATTGTTATCTATGTCAATAAAGTCTAGTTCATCGTCCAATAAAAGTTTCAAGATGAAACGCCTATGCTAAACCTCTTCAAGCTGTATCTTAAGCCTTTATACTTTTACAAAAATATCTTCGAGACATGTTTAGAATAGCATACTGATTTAACCCTGTATATTTCTGCAGTATATACTACAACAAAATACACATTGCACGATTGTATCCCAGAATGCAGTGGTCAACCTTCATATTTGAATAGGAGTTAGCTGAATTTAATCAAGTATACAATATCTTTTTTATAGTATCAGATTATTAGAATTGTCTATAAAATATTAATATCTGACATTTCTTGCATAACAAGCATTATGCTTGTTTTGCATTCCGAACACTGTTTGTTTTTAAGTTTACAGTTGAATTCAGAATTATTAGCCCACCTTTGATTTTTTTCTTTTTTTAAATATTTCCCAAATGATGTTTAACAGAGCAAGGAAATGTTCACAGTAAGTGTTATGGTCCCTCTTCACCCATGTATGAACAAAATAGGAGTCTGGTTCGCATTGCCGGCAACAAGTCAGACTTGTTTCCAGTGCATGTTAGACTCTGGCAGGGCTGCCCCTTGTCATCAATTCTGTTCGTAATTTTAATGGATGGAATTTCAAGGCACAGCCTTGGGCTGGAGGAGGTCTGGTTCGGGAACCACAGGATTTCATCTCTGTTATTCGCAGATGATGTTGTTCTGTTGGCTTCATCAAACATGGACCTTCAGCATGCACTGGGGCAGTCTGCTGCCGAGTGTGATGTGAGAATTAACACCTCTGAGGCCATGGTGCTCCACCGTAAAAAGGTGGTTTGCCATCTCCAGGTTGGCGGAAAGCCCTTACCACAGGTGGAGGAGTTTAAGGAACTTGTGGTTTTGTTCACGAGTGAGGGAAGGATGGAACGTGAGATTGACAGGCGGATCGGTGCAGCGGCAGCAGTAATGCGGTCAATGTACTGGTTCGTTGTGGTAAAAAAGGAGCTGAGCCGAAAGGGAAAGCTTTCGATTTACCGGTCAATCTACGTTCCTACTCTCACCTATGGTCATGAGATTTTGGTAATGACTGAAAGGACAAGATCTCGGATACAAGCTGACAAAATGAGTTTCCTCCGAAGGGTGGCAGGGCACACCCTTATAGATAGGGTGTGGAGCTCTGACACCCAGCTTGGAGTAGAGCCGTTGCTCCTCCACATCGAGAGAAGTCAGCTGAGGTGGCTCGGGCATCTGTTTCGGATGCCTCCTGGACGCCTATATAGGGAGGTGTTCCAGGTATGTCCCACCGGGAGGAGGCCTCGGAGAAGACCCAGGACACGCTGGAGGGACTATGTCTCTCGGCTGGCCTGGGAACGCCTTGGGATCCCCCAGAGAAGCTGGAAGAAGTGTCTGGGGAGAGGGAAGTCAGGGGTTCTCTCCTAGGACTACTGCCCCCGTGACCCGGCCCCAGAAAAGTAGCAGAAAATGAATGAAT